AAAGTACTGCACCTGCCACGAAATCTGCACTTCAAGGTCCACAAAGTCTTGCGCCTGCCACAAAATCTGCACCCCAAGCGCCACAAAGTACTACACCTGCCACGAAATCTGCACTTCAAGGCCCACAAAAAGTCCTGCGCCTGCCACAAACTCTGCACTCCAAGGCCCACAAAGTCCTGCACCGCAATGCACCCATTAGAAATAAACTGGTCCACCACATCTTTTTCCTGAGGAGATTCCCATCCAGGCACCTGCCGATGCTGCTACACCCATTCCAAACACTTCTCTGCTTTGAGCGCTCTGACAACGCCATGTAGGGCCTAACTTCGTGTGAACGCCGTGGCGGGTCTCGCGAAAGTATTTTTTCGAGTTCGCGAATGTTAATGTTTTTTCCGCGAAAGATTCGCGAAAGTATGTTTTTTCAGCAGCTTCAACTTTGGAATCCGTGTGAAGCTTCCTTCCTGTTTCATGTAGTCCACCCTATGTTATGTATGCCGTAAAAACCTCCAAAGCACAGGTTTTTTTCGCCAAAGTTTCGCGAAAGTCTGGAGAAGGTTTCGGCGAATGAATCGGCTCCAGAGGAACCCCGTAGCCCATAGCAACCCCACAAACTTCATCATCCAACGTCCTTGTGCAAATGCTTTCTCTAACAACATGTGCCAACGAAATTCTGCTCCAACACCACGTTCCTGTCTGTAGCATCCTCCTGCTGAACCAAAAACACTCCGTGCACTTGTATTTGGAAATCGAGTCCCTACCAGGTTAAATGGTTTCATGACATGGTGAACCCCCGCGAAAGAAAAACACAGGGTTCGCGAAAGTTTTGCGAATGTTAATGTTTTTTTCGCGAAGAATGGCCGTTTCAATAAACAAGAATATTGGACAACCACCATATATATATATATACACACCATCAAACTCTGTTTGAAATCTGAAGCATAGCGGCCCAAAACAACAGCCCGCTCGGTCCGTTCGAGCATATCCTCTCATCATGGTAGCGCGCAGTCCCTAAGATCCGAGGGACACAAATCGAGAAGGTGTACCAAGTTGCTTGAGGTTGAGTTTAGATGGGGTCGCCCAGTGCACAGGGGATGGACCGGTTGTTGGATCTGCAAGCTCAGATCCAAGTACGGCAGGAAATGTTGTTGAGCCATCAGCAACAGATGATGCAGCTCCAACACCAGCTGCAGGACGCGTTCGGTCGAGCTGCAAGAGCTGAAGAAGAGAGAAGCATTGCATTGAGGCTGGCCGGATCGCAGAAGAGTGAGTTGGTTGATACAAAAGGTGTTGGACAGCCCTTCAAATTTTCTGGTAAGAGCGACCAGGATTTTTCGGAGTGGGTTTACAAGTTCAAGACCTTTGCCAAGGTCAAGTTCAGTGGAGATGTTGAAGTTGTGTTGTCATGGGCTGGCAAGCAGCGCAAGACCATTGTCAAGGAGGCCCACTTTGGAGAGACGAAGGTGGTGACTTGGAATGACGTGTTTGGGAGCGCTACAGATGAAGGTCTTGGAGCCTATTTGACTTCATTTACAACAGGTGATGCCAACAGAGTGGTCCGCAATTCAGGTACAGACAGTCTTGAGGCCTGGAGGAGGTTGATCAATGAGTATGACCCCACAAGCTCAATGCGACGAGTTACAATTTTGAGCATGGTTCAAAATCCCAGCAAGTGCAAGTCGGTTGAAGAGTTGGGAAGTTCGCTTGAGCATTGGTTGGCAAAGAAGAAGCAATATGAAGAGTTTACAGACAATGCAGGCAATCCTTGTGTTGTGTCGGATGATTCATTGATTGCCGGGTTGTGCAGGTTGATGCCGGAGTCGCTCGAGGAGACCTTCATGTTGAGAGCAGATGAATACAGCGACTTCGAGAGCTTCTTCGACAAGTTGAGCAGCTACGCCACGACTAGGCATTCCCTCAATCTCAGTCGGAGGGAACTTGGATCCAGCCGCAACAAAGGTCAGAAGGATGATCCTATGGAGTTGGGAGCATTGACAAAAGGCGGCAAGGGCAAAGGTGGCAAGGCTGGCAACGACGCCGACAAGATGACGTGCCACGCCTGTGGCAAGTTGGGGCACAAGGCATCAGAATGCTGAAGTAAAGGAGGAGGCAAGACGTCCAACAAAGGAGATCCACCGAAGAGCAAGAGGATGGACAATGTGCAGTGTTGGGTGTGCATGAAGTATGGACACTATGGAAAAGATTGCTGGAGCAACACCGGCAAAGGTAAGGGCAAGAGAGGCCAGAAAGGTAAGTTTGATGGAGGCTTCAAGAAGGGCAAAGGCAAGGGCGGCTCAGCCAATTCAGTTGAAGATGGACGCCAGCCACCTCAGCGGCCTGAGAAGGAGCCGGAGTTGTCGCACTTGGACCTTTCGGCCATTGGCGATGGAGAAGGTGAGCATTTTCAGGTCTACTCCCCACTTCGTGCAGATGAGGAGCGAGAGGAGGATGCGCTCTTTTCAGATGTTGGTGGAGCGACAGGAGATCAGGCGGCGCCCAGTTCAGAGGCCGTTGAGGTAGAGCGTGAGGATGCTGAGGAGGAGACAGCGGAGGCTTCAAGTCAGAGGCCGAGGAGGCGAGTCTTCACGGGTGTCCCATCCATCAGAGCTAGCCAGAGTCGGGACCGACCAGTCGGAGTTGACTTTTCGATGGCCCCTGATTGGACCCCATCGATCCCGCCTGGATTGAGCCGCAGTGGAGAGGACAGTCGACCAAGGAGCAGATCTCGAGGAGGAGAACCAGCCCAGGAGTCAGCGTCAGTGCATGAGGACGTGGACCACAACAGCATGAACACCGAGCACGAGGATGGATCGCCCACCTAACTTTGCAGTGTGGAGGGCGACGAATGGTTGAAGTTGAACTATGATTCAGGAGCTGTTAGCACCGTGATCTCCATCGAGATGGCCGTGGCCCAGGGCTTGAATCTTCGCCGTGTCGGGAACTACAGGGTGGCGAATGGCGAGAAGATCCCAAGGTACGGCAGGGTGAGGGTGCCTTGCATCGATGAGCAAGGGCATCGACGTGGGTTCAAAGCGACAGTCACCCATGTCCACAAGCCGCTTGGATCTGCAGGTGAGTTCAGTGCCACCCATGATGCCTACATCTTCGATGATGGAGGTTGGCTGATCCCCAGCATGGCCCAGGCAACGAGGGCGTTTCTTCGGCAGCTCATCGAGGTCAATGGTGAGCGTGGCATGCTGAAGCTCTACAAGGAGGGCAATTTGTACAACATCTACCTCAAGCAGCGTGGTGACTTGCAGGAGTTGGGAACCTTGGATTCCGACTCCGCCTCGTCGGGAAACGAGCGGGAGGCCATGAGGCCGTAAGTCCGGTCGATGATGAGCCAGGGCGGAGGAGGCCA